TTTCGGTGACCGTCTGTCACCTTCCTCAGGGCAATTCTGACTGGTTCATATTGCACTGCAGCGCAGGTGTCGCTGCTATAGATGCATTCACAAATGTAATCCGTGAAAATTCACAATGACAGATAGACAAGAAAGTCACAAAAATATTTTACGAAAGTGTGGGATATCCAATTTCTATTTTTTATTGTAGATATTTACATTGTTAGCGTAACATTATATAAGTTTCTTTCAGATTCTTTTATGCGCAAGTGAGTTTGTCTGATTCAGAAAAGGTCTTGTTTCATTTTTCTGCATAACCATTATTAGCGTCTGTTTGAAAAAAAGAGCTCGCCGATTACAGTAATTTGGGTGGTAAAATAACATGCTGTAAAATGTCCCTTCTGGTTGTTGGTTTTATGCGAATCGTTTCAAACGTTTTCCCCCGATAATTTTGCTTGATGTCTTTGTTTCCAGGTAGTGTAATTCAGCAGTTATGTCTATGTACCCGACTGGGAGATGTTTTAGGCCACAGCAAGTAAATTTTATGGATGACATCCTCCGCAGACTCCAAATCTAATGCGAGCGGGCGAAATAAAAAACAAGTCGGGCCAAAAAAAAATAAGATTCCTACATTTTTGAATTTGGACTCAATTATTGTACAAATGGTTTTGATTCAGTGAGAACATCACATATACACAGCCAACATCACATATCACTGAATCAAAGTAAGAAACAAAACACCAAATCAGAGCCTTTTCTTGTCTCCTCTCTTTATAGTTAGCTGTCATCCACCTTCCGACATGGCAGCAGACATCTTTGCCCATTTTCGGCATGGGGCCAGAGGGTAACACAACTTCTTTTTCTCCCAAAATCAGGCGAAAATTAATGCGCGCTCTGATGTCATCCATAAAAATTACTTGCTGTGGCCTTAGCTGAAAACCATGGGTCGTGATGGGCGGAAGTTGTGCGGGGCTGAGTCACGCAGGAGTAGCCGGCGCACGAGGAGGTGCTCTAACGGGTATCATCAGGAGCAGGCCGCGGTACACAAATTCATATCATTTGCCGCTATTTCGCTCGGTGTCGCTAAACGCAGGGAGGCAAAGTTATAATGGGCACTGATAATCGACTCCTGATGTGTATACTAGTATGTGAGACTTGTTTATTTTGTTCCAAGGAAAGAAATGGGGTGGAAATATATCATGTTCATTACACGCACACAAACAGGCATGCACATATATACACAAAAAACTCGGAAACATGAACGTTTTCACAAGTTAAAGTTATGTATATAGTAGAAGAAATATTTTCATGGTCTTTCAAGACAGACAAATTGCCTACTACTACTACTACTGCTACTATATACATATCTTCAATTTGTGAAAACATTCATGTTTTCAGGTTTGTATTTTTTTTGTTCTTGTATGTGTGAATGTTTTGCGTTCGCGTCTGTGGCAGAGTATGTGTGTGTGTGTGTGCTTGCGTGTGTGCGTCTATGTCTGTCTGTGTGTGTGAGCAGTACAGTGAAACTTAATAAGTTACAGTTTGGTCAATATTATATTTAGTATGTGGATAGCCAAGCAAATAATAGCCACTTCGAGTACAGTATGACCTCATACGTATGCCTTATAAGAACTGTTGTCACATACACCGTACGATTGTAGAGAAACAAAGTCCATTCGCTCATTTCACTCTGGTCTTCCTCGGTAGACTGACCCAGTGTAACTACCAGTGTAAGATGTCCAGACTATGCATGATGTACAAAATGACTAATAAACTGGTGGACGTCCCAACTACTAAGTACCTAATGCCAGCCCAGAAGAGAACAAGAAATAGCCATGCCTTCAAGTACCAGAGTTATCAACCAAGGATTGAGGTGTTCAAGAATTCATTCTTTCCTAGAACTATCGCAGAGTGGAACTAGCTGTCACCAAGTACAGTAGGGGCATTGTCATTAGATAGCTTTAAACAATGTCTAGAGCTAGAAGTTCAAGGGTTAGGTGTAACAAGTCGATCGGTGTAATGTAGCCAGCTGCCGCCGCGCCACGTGCCTGCGAAGCTGGTGTGTTACGCCGAAAGGCGGTTATAGCGGCTATACAGATACAGATACCAACACAGATGAACTTTCATGATAAAAAAAATGTTTAGTGCCCGCCGCAACTAGTGTGAATTAATCCCGTGCCCGTCCCTCCCGCAGCGCGGATAAAACGGTCGGCGCTGCGCTAAGTGCGGCGCGGTCTCCACACGTGCCGTCCCGTGGCGTGACACGGACCTGTTACCCTCCCGTGCCGCGCAGCCAGCCACAATCTCACGTTTTCCGGTTTGTTTCACTCCGAAATGGCTGCATATAACTAGCGGGAGAGCTCGCTGGAAACGACCTCGAAACATGCAAAGCTGATAAAATATTTCCACAAACAGCAATCATTTGTTGAACTTTCCAGGATAAACCGTGTAATCACAATATGGCCTATATGTTCACCAACCTCTGATTTTGATTTTTGATTCTTTAAGTCTGTATTTGTATGTAAATCTGTACTTATGTATATATCTGTTTTATGTATTTGTATTGTTTTACGCACCCATAAAGGGAATAAAGGTTATCTCAGTAAACTAAAATTTAACTCAAACTAATATGATAAAATATTGTTTTTTTATTAGTTTGACTAATAAGCTGGGTCAGTCTATTGAGGAAGACCAGAGTGACTGGTCGAAAGCTCTAGGTACTAGGTGAGAGGATTTTTGTGTTGGACCAAACGTTTTAACTTTAAACATGCAACTACCAACACGTACAGATGAACTTTCATGATATGATAAAATATTCCAATATCAAGTTTTATATCAACGGCCCTTCTTGAGATCTATATATAAAACATCGGGTTTCAGGCTGATGTTTTTTTTTATTCTTTTGTCTAGTGTTTTAAAACATCTTATAGTCATTGCGAGATCTCTTCTTTTGTAGTCATTGATTTAATCACTTAATTTAAAGGAATTACATTTTGTTGCGTATAGATTGTTTCGCTTGTTATTTATATTTTTTTATTATTTGTGTCAGTTCAAATATTTGCTTACTGTTTTGTTACTTCAATTTTGCATTGATTGGAAAGTACATCAATTATTGCTTTCATTTCAGACATATTATTTCTATTATTTGACCTCTGACCTCCAATGCACTTTAATTTCTCTATGCTGATTTTGTTTCAAGTTTGTCATAATTTCAGCATAATTTGTATGTTTTATTTATTATCATTATTGCTAAAAGTAATTATTATTATTGTTGTGAAAACATATGTTTTTGCTACGTTTTGGAGATTAGCTTTCTTACTTCACCACGGGGGAGTGAAGTTTTCCTTTTCTTTTCATAATTTTCTTTTTAAAAATTGTTGTTGATGTAAAAGTTGTTTAAGGGTAGTTAGAATGGAAGGTTCGAACGCTGGACATACTTGCAAAAGGGAATGGAAGGATAAAAAAGGAGGGATGGGAAGAAAGGCAATAAAGAAAGAATCAACTACAGGTTGTAAATGTAGGAATATATTTTTTTGTCCCGCCTTGTTTTGTTTTTGCCCTATCGCATTAGATTTGGAGTCTGGGGAGGATGTCATCCATAAAATTTACCTGCTGTGGCCATTATACAGAAATTGACTCTCTAGCGGAACATACAGAAACTGCAGTAAGCGAACGCACGGACAACCGACCGTAACCCTTTTGTGTGAAATGATAAAAAGGAGAGGCGGAAAGAAATTAGAGAAACAAAATATTGTCGTGATGAGACTGGACGGTGTATGATAAAAGATTAACGAATGCATCAATGGTGTCAATAAATAGCTTTTATAAAAACGTACAATGCGTATTTTTCCTTTTCACTCTTAAGCTTAATTAAAGAGCTCACGTAAATAAAACATAAAATGTCTCACATTCATATATAACAGTGGGTTATTGGACAGTTCGTTTGGAAACTGACGCAAGTGAGTTTGATTCCTACCAAGTGTCTCCATCGAGGAAATTTTATTTTAAAACTATTTACTGTCAAGCTCAAAAGAAAGACATAATTGTTGTTTTGACCCGTACTACGGCTAGTTGCATTGGTTAGTTTTGATATGGTTAATTGTTTATCGCAGTGTGGTTAATGAGATAACTTGTTATAAAACGTTGAACTTTATTCCAACACACAATTTACAGAGAGATCAAATTTTCAGCGACCACTGTCGCCTTCATCCCGTATCAGAAAAGTCTCGTGTGAATAAGGTCACGTGTTTGTAAACCGTAACTCTCGCGAGATCACGTTGTGAAGTGATTGGTCATTAATTATCCTGATGAAGGCGACAGTGGTCGCTGAAAATTAGATTTCTCTGTAACCCTTGTGTTGGAATAAAGTTTAATGTTTTAGTATAATTACTACCAACACAGATGAACTTTCATGAGTTAAGTTGTTATCATTGACTTATCATCATTCACTCTATTACATAATATATTTTACATAATATCCGTCCATACATTTTAGGTAGGCCCCCCTTTCCACCGAAATGGCGACAATTGAGCAACCAAAATCTTGCTAATGGTGAAAATAAATTTTATTGATAGGAATGACATTACGTAAGTTTTACGCGTTTTAAATCATGAAGCATATTCAATGTATAAAATCATAGTTCATACAAAGCTTGGTCGTACAACAGTTTCCATCCAGTGGTAAGGGTGCCTTAACTTAAAATGAGATTTTTCTGGAATATACATTCTAAAACTTACATATAGAATAATACCTATACTCTAAACATTATCGAAATTAAGCACTATACATGTAGTTCAAGAATTACGGATGAAGACGTACATAATTTGTACAGCCTTTGTACAAAAATGAGGAAATTGTCAGCTCAATCGGCCATGTGTGATCTTTTTCAGGTACCAAAAGAAACTTAAAGATGATACACTCTGAGATGTTAGAATTGTACCTTGTAACGTCAAAAATGTACCACACGTACACAGGTCTCACAAGGAGACTTTGTTCGGTACAAAAAAACTTTCAAACTTCGCTCATGCGATTCTTTGTACTTGGATCTGCAACTGCTTTTATTAAGTTGGGTAGATATTTGACGAGATAGTCCTTATTCCAGTCATACAAGACTTTTCGTCATGGCTCGTTTCTTCTTAAACTTTTGATAACGGTCGTAATTTTGAACAGATCCTTAACTTAAAAGTAGTTTGACCTTACTAAGTTCTTATTGTCAGAAGTTGAGAGGATATCTGACGAAATATGATCCTTACATGTATCCCAGCCGTACATGACATTTTTCCCGTGGGTCGTTTTTTTTTGTGTCACGAATTTGAAGAGGTCCTGAATTTGAACAAGTCCCGGCCGTATTCAGTACCCTAGTCTGGAAGTTTTCCGGGCCGCAAGAGCCCTTCCATTCGCCCGCTGGTCTAAATTACCGCTACGGGGGAGTCTACCCCGGGGGGAGTTTGGCTGGCCCTACAAGGGCCGAATACTCCCCACGGGCTCAATTCCACCGCAGCGGTAATTTAGGTCTGCGGGCGAAGGGCTTCTGGCTGCCGATGGAAACGGTTAGCGGCCCGTAAACTTGTCTGGCACCCAGGGAACGTGTTCAGAAGTTGAGTGGATATCTGACGAGATAGCCTTTATCCCATCCGTACAGGACCCTCTCCCGCGGGTTGTAGGACAGCATGACTAGCATGCCGTGCGCGGTCTGGAAGGGCACCCCGACGTTCAGCTCCGTCTCGGTGAACAGGTCGTAGGCGTAGTCCACCAGGGTGTCGGCCTCGTACGGGCTGCGCGTGGCGTACAGCACGCCGCACGTGACGAACGCCTCGCCCGCCGAGTTCTTCATGCGGTTCGTCATGACCGTTCTCACCACGCGGAGCGTCTTGGCGTCCAGCAGCGCGACCACGATGTTGCCGTCGCTCTCCGGGCTGGCGTAGATCACCCACACGCCGTGCTCGTCAACGGCCAGGTCCACGTACGAGTAGTCGTACTTGTACAGGTACTTAGGGCTGCGGTAGCCAAGTTTGGGGATGTTGGTGGTCGCCGAGACTTTGCGAGAGTTGAGATCGTACTTGACGATGGTTCGAGACCCGGCCGCGTGGTAGTACAGAGAGCCGTTGTAGACCACGTGACCCGTGCCCTCGTAGTAATTCGGCAGTTCGTACGAGGTGGGGTCGCGTCGCCACTTCACATCGTCGAGGGTCTTGTATCCTTCCACGTGCAAACCTGTGCGGAAAAATGAAAAGCGTGAAAAAGGAAACAAACCTGAACTAACAGATAACATACTTACAAGCCGAAAAGTCCCACCTCCCTACAGAATAGAACATTTTTAAACATGATGATGGCACACGAGATCAGTGGTATGTCAGGACTCGAACCCGGGACCTCTTGGCTTGTCTCTTTCATGACCCTTGTTGAATTCCAAAACGTGTTCCATTCCAAATCATGATTTGGAATAACATGTCTTGGAATGCAACGGCCCTCTTGTTGTAGATGGGGGGAATTTAAAGGACCACAAAAATTTCCATGTCCCGGTGGTCCTTGCAAAGGTAAACACTAGTACAGGTCTGACTGCGTTAATGTCAGGCGAACCTTCAAAATGCGGCATGATCCAAAACTTGTCTCCCTGGTCGTCACGTGACTGCTGTGGGTCCGTCATCCACGCGCCCCAGTACGCCCCGTTCTTCAGCACGGTCTCAGCGCCCCCTACCGACTTCAGGATGCGGTCCACGCAGCCTGGGCGGGCATGCAATATTCATTCATTATCATGATAACAAAGATCTTCTTTTCGAAAGTAATCAGCAAAGTAGGAAAGGTCATAAATTCTAGACCTTAAGTATAACCCCAAACACACACACTCACGCACGCACACACACAGACACGTACACACTCACTCACACACACACACACATACACACACACACACACACACACACGCACGCACACACACACTCACTCACTCACTCACACACACACACGTATACACACACACACACACACACACACACACACACACAGACATACACAAACACACACACACACACACATAGAGAGAGAGGTAAGAGTTTTTGATAAAGAAAAGGTTAGGATCAGTTGAAATACTTCAAATAAATCAAAGAATCAAACAAAATTAAAGCATCAGTTACAATGTTAGTACCCGAATGGCATTTGACTTATCAACCTGGTTAAATTGCATTAACCAAAGTTCTAAAGCACTAGAAAGAATTTATAAAATTTATTGAAAGAACACCCACCCTTGGTTTTGTCCACCTCCTTACCTTGTGGTGCTTCTAGAAAACAAAGTTCACATAAGAAGTTAAGTGCAACCTTAACAAGATACCATCATCCCAGCTTTATTTTCCCTGAGGAAAAAATATCCAAATTAGAGATGCCATTGCAGATAAAGATTGATTGTAGAAAGTATTAATTTTTGTTGTTTAAGTAGCGTTTTTGGTATAAACAGTTTGTTATAGTCAAGAACAACCGTGCATCCCGAGTGCTTTGCGTTTCTAGTTCTCATGACCATTATCGATCGTGCTTTGCTTTCCTTATTATCATCATCGTACAAAGTTATCGTCTACACCGCATTTAACGTTACAAATGGTTTTGATGACTACACCCTTTGGGCATCGAGAAAAAAACAATGACTGGTCGAGCTATGTTAACTGTTTTAAGTCAAGAGAAAAGCGGCCGCACAGCTCACCCAGTGGGATTTCGTTCTCCGTCCCCACCTGAAGAGAGTCCGTCTTGTTTTCCGCACACCGAGCTGTGGGGTGAAGTGACAATTACGCCCCATTCCCACAAGGATAAAACTGTCTGGATCTAGCCGAATTGATTCACTTTGATCCGTCTTCGAGTCGGATCGAAGCCGGATTAAAGCAAATCAATTCGGCTCGATCCAGACAATTTTATCCTAGTGGGAATGGGGCCTAAGTAAAGGAAGGGACGGGTGGGCTCACTGATTCACTCAGCTATGGATACACGGCTAGAGGGTACCCCCTTCAGCTTTGATACAACTTTGAACCCGGCCGGCGGCCGATATCGACTTCCTGGCACCTTTGACCCACCCCTGACGTCACACACCCCCAGAGATCAATGCGCATCAGGAAAGTAGGTCGAATCCATGATAAAGACGGATAGAGACGGTCAGAAATCGAGTGAGTTATTCCTTTATTTCAAGAATCAAAGTAGAAATATTCTGCGGGCATTTTAGAATTATGCAAACTAGAACCATACAGCACAGTTACAGACATGAGAGTGGATTATCAATGTGATGGGAACGTAAAATTCGCATGTACATGTACTTGTACATGTTAATGTACTTGTACATGTACAAAGTAATGCACACAAATTAGATTGTAAAAACAAATTGTTGAATCATGGAAAGAATGAATCTCAAAGCATTCTCGAGTACTCGAGAGATAGTTACCCAGTCTTTCCAGTACGACTTTGTCCATGGTACCGCCGCTGCCCTTCGGTCCTCTCGGCCCGGGTATGCCGGGGGTCCCGCGCGGTCCGGGCGGCCCGGCCGGTCCTGCAGGCCCAGGTGGTCCCGGCTCGCCCTGCACGATCACTGAACCAAACTCCGAGTTGGTCAGCACTGGAGGAAAACGCCATTCATACAGTATCAGTAAATGGTAACTGAAAGATATATTGCCTGAAGATGCTGACTTTTGGCATAAAAGTTTTTTTTTCTTCTAGTTGGCAAAATGGAGACCTGCATAGGTTGTTAGTCTCTGATTGTATAAAAAAAGTTGGTGTGTTACGCCGAAGGCGGTTATACCGGCTATACAGATACAGATACAGAAAAAGAGACTTGAGTCAATGTGGTATTGTGGTCGGGTTTGAATGAACTTTCAACTGTCTATCCATCATTTGAATGAATGAATGAATGAATGAATGAATGAATGAATGAATGAATGAATGAATGAATGAATGAATGAATGAATGAATGAATGAATGAAAGAATGAATGAATGAATAAATGAATGAACGGATTGTCCTAGCCGCCTTTTTCCCATTAGTCCATCTCTATGTGTTTCTTTCATGTTAAACTAAATACTTTTGGTCAATTTTCTCACCTCCAGATTCACCCCGGTCTCCGCTATCCCCTTTCTCCCCCGGTTTTCCCGGCATGCCAGGCGGTCCCCTGAGTCCCTGAGCTCCCTTGTCGCCCTTCGGCCCAAACATGCCTGGAAATCCTGTAAAAAACGACATTTTCTCATTGAAGCATGATATGAAAAGAATGAAATTGTAAGCATTCGAAGAAACTGGCGGGACGATCCCATGTTGAATGGGCATGAGTAAAAGAAGTCTATTTAAAAACTAGCAATGTAAATCGACATGCAGTTGACAACATGCGTTGTATTTTAATCTACAGCAAATACTTTATTTCCATTGGCAAATGTAAAAATAACAATTTAATGACAATGTAAATATAAAAGGTTCCCTGGTCTTTTTGATACAATTAAAAACTATTCTTATCAAGATAGACCACGTATTACGGAATAGCTATCTTCTCAACATCTTATTTTCTACCAGACAGAATGTGTTGCAGAAAAAAATAGTCGAAATTGGGCGAATAGACTGAATGATGCCATGCTCCCTTTACCGAATAATGTTCCAGAGGAGTTTGTAACCCTAAGAATGTGCAATTTTCCCAATGTGTACTATTTTTCAGCAACCCATTGGAGTTTGGTAGAGACTTCAACCCATCAGAATACCCATTCTAAGCACCCAATGGCTAGAATAAAAAAAAGGCAATGGCTAGAATAAAAAAAAGGTATATCAATCATCAGAGTAGAAACAGAGCCACGGAGAAATTCACCTCAGTTGCCTTTCGATAGTACAAAGAGAAAAGGGCGCGCTCTCATACATTCCTGGAAAAACACCTCAAAAACAGCCTCAGATCACCGAAAGTAGATCAGTCTTTTAAAAATGCACAAAATTAAACACGGCGGGGTCTATATTTGCCAGATACTAGTAACTCCGCTGAGTGGACAGCGTTCAGCACCAAGGACAGATGCCATTCCGTATACCTTCCCTTTATATATACGGCCAGAGAACATGGTCAGCAGAAGGCTGTTGTGAAAATGTAAGTATCGGTTAATGATGGTTATGTAGGATGTTAGCATGAGAAGAGTGCGCATTTAACTCCCATAATGCCTAGTAAATATCACGGATATGGATGGGATATGACGTAAGAAGGTAGAATGCGACCGTGCGAGTAGGAGAGTCTTCGGTAGAAGGTAGAACGATAGAAGGTACGTCATTTTCTCTAATTCCAACAAAAATACAATTATGGCATGCGCTTTATACTACATAAATAATTCAAAACAATATAGTTGACCAGTCTGTCACTGAACTGTTAAAAATATTACATCGAGGAAGGGGGAGGGGGTTGGTCATACGTCATATCCGTGATCTTTACTAGGCATTATGGGAAGTGTAAAATTCATGAATAACACCACGTGATGACTACATCACGACTGTGTGTGCTAACCCGGAGTTCCTTTGCTCCCCTTCATCCCAGGCACGCCGGGCGAGCCGTCATCTCCTGCGTCACACAGGAACAGGTGTGGTCAGCACCACGTCATCATGACGTCAGAGATATTTCATTGGATGTTTGGTCAACTTCGTATTGGGATTTTTCTTGTCGCACAGGACATTTTTCCGACATAGCATTTAGCAACTACAGAGGGAATGTTAACCATATATATGCACAAGTACGGCCTTATATGAGACGTTCTGCCGAAGTGCTATGCCTATGCATAATACTAAGTACATTACGGGATACGCGCAGGTGCAGTACGGTCTGCCGACTTGCTTCTCTTCGCCATTTTGCGGCACGTCTCCAGAACGTACTGTGCTTGCGCAAAATCCAGTATTTTTTCACGGTTTTTGTTGGATGTTTGGTCATTATTGTATCAACATTTCACCCGTAACGGACGATATAATAATCGACATAATAATTTTAAAACTATTGACGGTATTTTATCCTTAGATACGCGAAAAATGAGACGGTCTGACGTGCTATGCAGAATATATTACAGGTTTCACGCAGGCGCAGAACGTTCTTTCGACGTGCTCCATTTTGCCACCTTGGCCAATAGTTTTATCAAATATGATTTTTTTTTTGTCTCGACGAAGAGCGACCACGTATATTTACCAAATGTAAACAACGATAAACATTTGACACAGTCTAAGCTTGTCAAAGGGTATGCATGGTAACAAGATGGCGGAATCAAGAGGATCATGAAAAGCATGATATGCGTGCTTGAATCTAATGGTGAGTTTACGTTAGAATAACAACAGTAATGCAACTAAATAAAAGTTATTCTATATGTGCGACCTATGCGGGTGTAAGAAATTTCGAATAAACACGTTATTAGTGATATATAAGTGTCTAGATCTATTGTGTTAATTCTTAGAGCACGAGCACGTTACCACATGAACCCTGCTGGCACCACGTCTCATGAAGAATTATTTTGAGAAGCGAACAAAATCAGACATTACTAACTAGCTATCATATGTAGTCACGGTAATTCTTTCTCATTGTTCGGTCTAGGCAATATTTCAAAGTTTAAATTTTCAAAAAACTATTGAACAACAATACTACAAGACTTATCTATCCTGTATTTATGATATCAATATAAATACATGATATAAGAGGAATTCATTTTGGAGTATGGGGATATTACCTAAAAACAAAGTATACACATTATAGGAGGTAGTTCTTAGTTTCTAGCCATCTTCATGTATGGATGATTTGAATGTCACTCCTTTCGAATGTAGTACAGAGATACTGACCAACCTATGAAAACCACTATGTCCTACCTGTGTCTCCTCTCTTCCCTCGCGGCCCTTCAGGCCCCACGTTTCCCTTCGGCCCAGGTCGCCCGTCCTCCCCGGGGAGACCAGGAGGTCCCATCGGTCCGGGTGCGCCGGGCAGACCGTCCAGTCCGGGCAGTCCGTCCACCCCAGGCTTCCCAGGCGCACCGACCGACCCCTTCTCTCCGTCCAGCCCGCCTTCGCCTTTCTGGCCCGGCGGGCCCTGTGGCCCTGGCGGCCCGATAATCCCGGGCTTCCCTGGCGGCCCCGGGACCGGAACAAACGCCTCTGTTGCTCCGCTGCCGGGGTCCCCGGGAAGGCCGGGCGGGCCCATGTTACCGGGAGGCCCGGGCTCGCCTATCGGGCCGGGCTCGCCGGGTAAACCGGGTTGGCCTGCCGGGCCAGCGGGACCAGCCGGCCCGTCTGTACCTGTGATGGAGGAAGGCAAGAAAATAGAGCTCCACGACCTCACACCTTCGCCGAATTGTGTTAATTATATTTATTTATAACTGATGAAGTATACATGTTTCTCGTCGATTATCAAAAAGTATCATCTTCATGAATTTTATTGTACCGTAGGTCCCTACATTATCGAACTTGACCTCACTCTTTACCACTCTGATCCGCTGAATATCATGCACAACCGCCCACAGCGTCTCTAGTCATGTTGTACACAAACAAAAAGCACACATACACAGCCCATTGCAGTACCATAGTTAAACGATAGGTAAACCATTTTCGAACATGACCTTCGTTTCTACAATCACAACATACCTCCCAAATATCTTCAAACAAACTTTCACATCTTTAATATTTTATAAAGCTAAAGAGAAGACTTAATTTACCCGGCAATCCTTGTGGTCCCGGTAAACCTGTAAAATAACAAAAACACAATTGTTTGTTTGTTTGTATTGTTCGTTGCTGAAGACCTCCAGCTACCCCAGATCAAAATATTCCTGAAGAAAATTAAAGTGATTTTAAAATTGATCGAGTAGCTCTATATGCTAGTATATTTCGGCGCCCTTTCAACTGAAGCTGTTACTAATGAAACCACTGGCAGTTTGTACATATGTCGGTAGAGGGCATTATCCTCACACTAGATTTTGACCATATTCCGGATAATCATATTATGGCAGACACATGGGGCAAGCCCCGTTAAGCTTCGGTCCCAATTGCGCCGGTGCCCGTCGGGGATGTAGCCCCGGCCGGCTCCCGCCGGTCTCTGGAGCCTGGCGGGCACCGGTTGTTGTGGTCACAATTAAAAGTTTCCTTCAGTGGCATTTTGTCACCCTTATTGGTCGGTCTCCGGCAGGTACCCGGCAGATTCTCTGACGATGTCTTGTACTGACCCACTTAAACAGAGTTCACGTTTTTGTTGTCATCTGATCTGTGACGTCACACATTTGACATGGACTCACGAAGTACACACCCTTATTGTGTGTATCTGGTCTTTGACGTATCAAAATTAATACCGGAGGGGTGCCTGTCGGTGTTCTCACGATGAGGTCACGGCGTCTTTTTTTCAGCGGGGCCCGGTTAGAATTAAAGTCAGAATTGAATTCTTCTCGGGTCCCCGCCGGGCCCAAAAAAAGCCCGGTAGCCGCAGGGTGTCCCGCGGGGCCACGTAGGGGTCACGCCCGAAAGTACCATAAAACAGCCCGGGAACTACCCGGCAGGGCCCCTTTTTCCAATTGGGACCGAAGCATTAGGTTACCCAGAGTTCACCTTTTTACCCAGCATGCTTATGGACCCCGGAAAATCGATCAAAGATTCACATTTGTTGGCTAACAGTTACAGCGTCCTTGTGCCTGGCCTTAAACCACATTTTCTTTCATCCAATGGCGGAGATACGTATGTCATAGACAAATATGGTATGGATACTGGGTATGTATTTGATTACATGTTTGTTTTGTCCTGTTGTTACTTCTGTATGTTTTACATTGTTTTTTTCCCTTGTATCATATGTGTGTGTTTTATGATGTGTCCAGGGCCCAACTGCAAAGCAGTGCGTAGCCACTGAGAGGGTCACCCTGGTTAAAGAAAACAGAATAAAAAGATAGATGAAACCATCTCGTAGAAGGGCATGTGTCCAACTCACCTGGAGGACAGAACTCTCTGGTTTTGTTACAGAAGCTTGTTAGAACATCCACCTGTAACAGAGAGACAAGAATAATGAATACGACGTCTCATAGTCATCTTAATCTCACTGTAAGGAAAAAGGACAATAGTATCCAAGAAATCCGAGACCCATTGAAAGTATTTTTTTTTATTCGTAGTTTTTTTTTATTCCAACATGTAATTACCAGACGTGGTGACGGCACACTCAAGTTTTTTCCACTCATATTAATGCCGCCACCAACACAGGGGACAATACAATACTCATCTTCACCTGAGCGAAGTGAGGAAAGTCGTGTAAAGGGCCTTTCCCAAGGACACAAGATCGGTGGAATGTCAGGACTCGAATTAACCCGGGACCTCTTGGTTCCGAGTCGAGCACTCTGCCGCTACGCCGCACGACCCCACCGGTAAAAGTATTTCAGACCCTAGGTTGTGCTGATGTGCAAAAACTCTAAATATTTTCCCGGAGGTTTGATATTTCTTGTTTTAATTGTTCTGTACATTGCCTCTGACATAAGTATTTTCCACACTCACACCCGAGTGTATCGAAGGACAACCTTTAGTGAAATTGTTCGTGTAAGTTTCCACTATTGTCATCGGTCCCTTTGATCACTGACGTTTCCCAGTGAGTTAGCAGGGCATGTGCAGAAGGTCAGTGTCCTTGGTAATGCTTTAATCACTTAATGACTAACGCTTTCATCAGTTAATAACTAACGCCTGGCTGGTTATTTTCAGGCCTAAGGCCATGTTTATGTGAAGTCACCAAAGGTGCTTTACATGTGGTTTACCCCGAAGCCGGTTTCAAGTGGCTCCATCTGAACGCTCCAAATCACATTGAAAGCGCCTCGATCCCAAACCACTTCTAGAGGTGGTTTCGAATCGGTTTTCCCGCATCGCGATTTGCGTCTGAACGCAATGCGATTTCAATGTGACTTCACTTGGTCATGGATTACGGGGTGATATTTCTTTATTTATATGCAATACCAACTTTTACGTGTCAGCAACTTAAAGAGTAGTAATGGTCAAATAATGTGTCCGTTCTAGGACGAGCTTCACCGCCTCTGGCGGGACTACGTCGGCATTCGGCCGAGGTACGCTGGGAGGGGGGCATCAGCAAGCAGGTCGTTGACCTCTGACAATAATGACACGCTACCTAGCGTGTTTTGATCAAACAAGAATGAATGTAGTTTCGGAGAATCGTGATCGGGCACGTTTTAAAAGGAATGTATGGCACGTGGACCAGATGTGAGGAATATGAGTTACCCGAATCGCGGTTTGGGTGACTTCACATAAACACGGCCTAAGTCGACGCCGTTAATTTCCACGTGTCTCCCATGTGCATCTGGACAGAATCATTGGTAGACATTAGACAACATGAGGTGAACAATCAAATTGAACGAAGACTAAATACTCCACGATCCATCCATGGAAAGCTTTCAAAATTAAGCCACTGTCACACATTCAGAACTTTCCCCAGATGACCAAGGTTGGCTGAAGTTCGGGAGCAGTCTGACCAGATTTAGGCCACGCATAACCTTTGGTGTGAATCAAATCAGATTTGATTTAAATTTGAGTCAAATTTGAGAGCTGACCTATTCTCGAACACCCGCCAACCATGGCCGAATCCAGTCTACACGTGAATGTTTGGAAAGTATGCCAGACGATCACAGCCGACCGTGCTCCCGACAATGGTTGGGGGGAGATCGGCCAGTGTTAACGTTCGGGAGGCCATATAAGGCTATGCGTGACTGGGGCTTTAAAGACATCCAGTGCAGTTTTTAGGGCTTGGATGCCCGGTTTTCAAAGCTAATATTCTCGTCAAATATCTACCTACTGAGTTGAAACCACACTATTCCAATTGTATAGTGACCCCCATGGAGCAAAAATACCCAACATTCTGACAGAAAATGGTTACTGGAAGGGCTGATTTTAGGGTACCACCCACAAAATAAAGGGCTCATCTTGGGGCTTGTTTCTGCAGTTTTAAAAGCCCAAAGTATGAAATACTGATTGAAATGTGCTAATGTGAAGCAGTATGTGTCAATAACATAAAGATGGCCCTATTCAGAACATTTCCAGTTTTGCAATAAATGGACATCGCGATCAGCTATTATTGTTAAGCGTTATTCTGTCTGCTAAAACCTTTGAGCCATTTTCTGGACGAGAACAAAGACGCAGAATATACTGTCTCTTGTTGTCGTGGAATTTGAGATAAAGATCTCAGCTTTCACGGCCATCCTCCTTTTGTCTTACGAAGACGTTACAGGACGACACTGGCGCCACTCCTATTGTCTTTCGGAATGATTGAAGGTCCCTTTACCTGACGACTTGACCCGAGGTGTCTAGTACGTACAAGGACTAGCCTCTGGCGATCAGTGCGTACCTACATGACTATATTATAATGTCTACAGTTATATAGCAGAGAGGATTCATTCCTCAAGTTAACCGACATCTCGCACACACAGGCGTTACTCAATGTTAGTGAGACATTTGGAGCCGCATAGTTCCCGTTTAGAACTTTTATTCAGCCTGTCACACTCACACACACACACTATCAGTGCGTACCTACATGTATTACATTTTGTATAGCGTCTGCAGTCATATAGTAGTGGGGATTCATTATATTCCTCAAGCTAACTGACATCTCGCACACACAGTTACTCAGTAAGACATCTGGAGCCGCATAGTTCCCGTTTAGAACTTTTATTCAGCCTGTCACACACTCTAGCGATCAGTGCGTACTCGTACCTACATGTTTTATAGCGTCTACAGTCATTCAAGCCCTGATGTACCAAAACTCATAAAATTAATGTTACATATAACATGCTCCTTATACTATAAAACCACGCTTAGTTCCGTGTATTGTTTTTCTAACATGTACATGTCATAAAACATGCGTTTGTGCAATTATTAGCCACGTGCACCGACATGAACACTTTACTAGGGACTGAACACTCTACTAGAAACTTTTCAACTATATCCTCCCTCCCGCCTTCGGCAAAAATAAAAGTACTTTTTTTTTAACTATGTTAGAAATCTACGATTTTATTGATTCTGTTGTTAGTCTTCGGTCAGTGTTTTGAAGGAGACCACTCTTACCTAGAACTGACAGTCTACATATAAGTGAACTTTCTGTGGCCCTTTTCCAGGTCAGCCCCTGGGGCTTTGTCTTATCACTATAATCTTATAAAAACTGTTTGGATCGAAACATCCTTACAACAACCACAGTATGTATGATTAGATGATGTGTAGTTAGTTAACATGGAACAGACACTATAATTATATGACGCGCGTATTGTTGATACGGTTATACGTTTTGACAGCAGAACAAGACTCGTAATTATGGGTGGAAATCACGTCGTTACTTCCAGTCAGTACCCGCCAGTTGCCTCAAGGTAAGCAGTCAACATGACACGGTATGGCAGCCGTCCAAATAACATCCCTACGAAGGCCCACAACGTCACTACGCTACACCTCTTCCACAGCCCTACCCTGTGTAAGGGCCGCGGAAGAGCGGTATGACATGTAATGCCCTTGGCAGCGCGATGTGGAAGGGTTGTGGAAGAGATGTAGCGCATTGTCGTTGTGGGCCTTCGTACATCCCACAAGCTTGGCACATAGATGTACCCGGTAGTTTGACGCAACGGTTTGAAGCTACACTAAAAAACGCTCCTGCACTTCCAGAACAAGCTGCTAGGGGTCAAAACATACACCACTATTTTTAGACATTGAACGGTATCTGTCACCTAAAAATATCCAGGACGATACAAAACCCGGTTCTGCTGCAGTGCCAAGGAAAGCTACCAGGGGGCGTTGACCCTTGTTTTCCCAATACCTACCCACATATGCGAATAGCTACGAACTATCATCACAATTCATTCAAACCTCCTAAAGTATAATATAGTGACTACAACTATTCAGATACACACATAGACTCACCCGAACCAATACATACTTTTCACGAAAGTCAGGTAACAAGCTACGGCTCAATCTGTAATTAAGCTTATTAGACGGGGCAGGTAGGAATGTTCAAAGTGTTCTCCCTGCTTCTGCTTGGAGATAGAACCACAACAACATCTGGAAATTCCAAGACACCAGGCCAATCTGAAGTCATTAGGCACAGGAAGGGCGCCCCGGCATGGCACCAGTGAACTTAGTCTTGAACTTCCTGCCATTTCTAATCAGTTCTGGACTCGGTAAAATTTTCTTCTTTAACATAACCACGAGAAAGCAACGATTATCGGAAAGTACGTGTCGGCGCGAAAGAAAACACAGAAGATTGATTTCTTCGTTGACAACGACACAGGGCGAGGAGAGAAAAGGGTATCTAGAATACTGATATATAGTAAACAAGCTCCGCAGATGCAGATGGGAACGTGAGTTTTATAATAAATGTCATTTCAGATCCCGGGCAATCCGATTTCTTTGAAAACGAAAAACATCTTAGTTGGCTGGTTAGTTGGTTGATTCACTGGTTAAAAACTCAACAAAAACTTTCGAAGGAATCTTCAGGAATCTGTAGGACTGTCTAATTTACCGCAAGTCCGTTGCGGTTGAAATTGTGGCCCGTGATTGTCACAATGTAAAAACTAGAAGGAATACTGTGTTCCCTAAGTCCCTGTCACACATTCAGAACTTTCCACCGACAAGTTCGGAACCAGTCTACTATGTATAGACCACGCCTACCTTTCTATAAGACTCGAATCGAATTTGAGTTAAATAGATTTGAGCACGAGTCAAATTTGTCCCCCGAACACGCCTAACCATTGCTATACTCCCGAACTCCCAGCCAACCATGGCCGAAATCGCCGTCCACACCCGAATGTTGGAAATATTTTGAAACATTCGGGTGGCGCAGCCGAACTGTAGCCGACCTTGCCAAACACCAGCCAACCACAACCGACCTTGCTCCCGACCTACTCCTATATGTATACGAGTTACGCGCAGGTGCAGTACGTTCTGCCGACGTGCTTCCTAAGGCCATGTTGAGTTGATTATATGGATGACATCCGCTGCCATCCCTAAAGCTGAT